GGCGCCGCGCTGGGGGCAGTGGCTTCGGGGTTGGGGGTGTTTGGAAAGGTTGCCGCGGAGGGGGCTGGGCGCAGCCACCCTGTCCCGAGCAGATGTTCTTACCTCATCGCGGAGCTTGTGGCTGGGAGCCAGGGCTCCTGGGACCGGTCCAAGTCCCCGCCTGGGGGTGGGAGGTGGGAATGTGGGGCACGAATCTTGCCTCCGGGTCCGTTTTCCGAAGTGTAACGGGAGCTGCACCGCTCCTGCGCGGAGCCCCCATGCTCCCCCGTTTCCTTCCCGCGTGCCCCGGGACCCTTGAGAGTTCTTGGCTGAGGGGATAGGGCTGTGGAAGGAGGGGAACTTAGGGAATGGGGTAGAGGGGCGCCTGCTGACTGCCCTCTTTCTCCTTCCTACCCCAGACCTTCCCTTACCACCTCCTCCCCTCCTTGGGGATGGCGAGGACACGGAGGGCACCCTGGGAGGTGCCTTCCCGCCTCCCCCTCCCCCGATCGAGGAGCCTTTTCCCCCTGCACCTCTGGAGGAAGAGATCTTCCCCTCCCCACCGCCTCCACTGGAGGAGGAGGGGGGCCCTGAAGCTCCCATCCCGCTCCCACCACAGGTACGGGGTCTGGGAGGGGCAGCTAAACCGGGACATCCCCCCCCCCGCCCCCCAAGGAGAGGAGGGTCCTTTCTGACCTCCTCCGCACCTCCCCCCTGATGGGGGAATGGAGGACTGAGATGGGTGTTCTGACCCTTGACCTTCTAGCCCAGGGAGAAGGTGAGCAGTATTGATCTGGAGATAGACTCTTTGTCCTCACTGCTGGATGACATGACCAGGAATGATCCCTTCAAAGCCCGGGTAAGGAACTGGAGAGGAGGAAAGGAGTGGGGACAGAACTGGGGAGGGCTGCACCCTCCTCCAACTACACTTCTCTCCCCCTCCCCCTCCCCTTGCAGGTATCATCTGGATATGTACCCCCACCCGTCTCCACTCCATTCATTTCCAAGACCAGTACTAAGCCTGCAGCTGCAGGCACAGCACCCCTGCCTCCTTGGAAGGCCCCTTCTAGCTCCCAGCCTGTGTCCCAGGCTCAGGCTCAGCCTCCGAGCCAGGCACAGTTCCATGTGCAGCCCCAACCCCAGCCCCAGGCCAAGCCTCAGGTCCAGCTCCATGTCCAGTCCCAGCCCCAGCCCCAGCCCCAGCCTGTGCCTTTGGCTAACAGTCAGCCTCGAGGTCCCCCAGCCCCACCTCCAGCCCCTAAGTTTTCTCCAGTGGCTCCCAAGTTTACTCCTGTGGCTCCCAAGTTCAGCCCTGGAGCCCCAGGTGGACCTGGGCCACAGCCCAATCAAAAGTTAGGGCCCCCTCAAGCTCCCTCTTCCACTGGCACAGGCTCCCCTCAGCCCCCCAGCTTCACCTATGCTCAGCAGCGGGAGAAGCCCCGCGTGCAGGAGAAGCAGCACCCAGTGCCCACACCGGCTCAAAATCAAAACCAGGTGAGGCAGGGTGGGAGGACCAGGCTGAGACATGGGTGCTGGGGACAGGGGATAAGTCAGGAGCCAGAGAATGAGGGCAAAGATGAGTGGGTGGGGATGGTGGGAGAGGAGTTTCCAGCCTCTAGGGTTGGACTGGTGGGGGGGCTGGGTGTGGCCTGATTGGGAGTGGGAGCAGCACAGGCTCTGAATTAGGCGGAGGGTTTGGTGGACCATCCCTTCCCGCTTCCCCAGTATGTTAGAGGGGAGGATGACCTCATCATCAGTCCAACCCTGGTTCTTCCCCCTTCCTGGATTCTTGGGTTAATCTCTCTTTCTCTGAGCACTCTCACTGCCTGGGGGTGATAAGAGTGGCTGCACTGGCTGAGCCAGCATCTGCTGTGTGCCAGGCACTGTGCTCTGTGCTCAGGATGGAAGAGATCTCTCAAAGAGGTTAAGCCTGAGGGAGTCAGCTGGACCTGGGATAGAATTCCCAGCTCCCATCTCACAAAATCCTAGGCAAGTGAGGTGAACTTTGAGCCTGTTTCTGTCCTTGAAATAACATTATCCACCCCATACAATGGTTGTGAAGATCAAGGGGGCTAACGCATAGAACGTGCTGAGGGTCTTTATCTAACACATGAGTGCCCCAAATTGAAAAGTTCGCATTCCCACCTTTTAGTTCAGGAGACGAGAGCGTCTGAGTTGAAGGGACCCTGATGGTCATCTAGTCCAACCAGCGACAGAGTAAACGGACAGCAGGAGTGTCTGTCTCTGTGTGTGCAGGCACAGATGGGGCAGGAGGAGATGCCAAGGACCCATAAGTTGTGCAGAATTCTGTGTTACAGAAGCTCCAAACAGGGAGTCAACATGGGGTGGCCAGTTAGGGAAGGCGTCCTGGTGCTGGTGTGCTCTGAGGGATGGTCGGACTTAAGAATCCAGAGAGGAGAATGAAGGGCACTGGGGTGGGAATAGCATGAGCAAAACTCAAGGGCACAAATACACCAGAGTGTTTGGAGACTAGAAAGTAGAAGGTTCCTCTGGGAAGTTATAGAGCAGTGTTGGCGAACCTATGACACACGTGTCAGAGGTGACACTCGAATTCATTTTTTTGGTTGATTTTTCTTTGTTAAATGGCATTTAAATATATAAAATAAATATCAAAAATATAAGTCTTTGTGTTACTATGGTTGCAAATATCAAAAAATTTCTATATGTGACATGGCACCAGAGTTAAGTTAGGGTTTTTCAAAATGCTGACACGCCGAGCTCAAAAGGTTCGCCATCACTATTATAGAGCCACAGAGAGGTAGGTGGGAGCTCGAGGGAGCCAGTCAGATCTGGCAAGTCCTTCATAGCTTCCGAGTAAGTGTGTGAGTGGGTTGGAAGACCTGTGACAGCCATGCCTTTGGAAGCTTTTGGGATAGTGCTTACAGCAGAGGTGTGTACTAGAGGTAGGAGATTAGTGACTTATGAGGGGATAAGAGCTGTCAAAGCAAATGCCTCTAGGACCTGGTAACTGATAAGCAGTTGGGAGAGGAAGGGAAGGGGTAAAAAATGCCTGGGTGTGTCGGGGGGAATGAATGACAGTAATGCTGACAAAATAGAGAAGTCCAGAAGGGGAAATGCTTTGGACAGGAAGAGGAGGGGTCCAGCTGTCAACGTATTGAGCAACAGGCTCCAGGAGGACTTTCCTTCAGCTGGAACTGTCACTCAGTTAGAAATGGAGGGCCGGGTTTTAGGAGAGGCCTGGGACTCAAGGTTGTCACGGGGCAGTGGTACTGAAGCAGCCCAGGGTGCTTGCACAGCAGGAGCTTCGGGCCTGGGAGGAACCTGGGTGATGCTCCCGCTGGTTAAGTGGGAGGGGAACAACGGCAGAAAAGGAGGAGCATCATGTCGGGGTGGGATCTTGGGGGACAGATGTGATGGCTGAGGAGCCCTTCCGTAGGTTTGAGGAGGATGAGGACTATAGGAAGGTCACAGGTTTGACTGTTTGGAAGTCACCGAAGGCTGTGGGGTGGTCCATTTGTGCCCTTTGGTGGGGACAGTGAAAGGAGTTGCGGACTGCATGGGCACTGAGGAAACGGAGTTTCCAGAGTGGCCTGCTCTGGAGGGTTGGCAGAGATGGACTAGGGCAGGGCTTGTGTGTGTGTGTGTGTGGTTTTTCATGTTAGGGGATGTGCTCAGGTATGTGTGTGAACCAAGAGGAAGAAGCTGGTGCAGGGGGGTTAGAGGTGCCTGAGAGCAGGAGCTGCTGCTCCATGGAGTCTGGAGGAGAGGAGGTGACGGCCCCCTTACCGTGGCGTTCCCGGAGAGCAAGGACAGAGTCACCACAGTGTTTCTGTGGAGAAGAGGAACACTGAGGGAGCTCAAGCTGGCCAGCTTCCATCTTCTCAGTCGTGTAGGAGGTGAGGTAATTGGTGAGAGCGAGGGGCTCGAGGGGATGGAAAGGTTTGAAACAGCTGCTGTGGGGAAGGAAGGCCACTGGGAACCCGCAGGAGCCAAAAGCCAGACAGCCGAGCTGCGAGCTGCGGGTGACTGGGGCTGAGGTCACCGAGGGCCCTGCTGTGTTTTGTGTTTTGTGAACTCACTCTGCAGCCGCTATGCCTACTTCTGTAGCCTGGAGGCAGAAACAGGAAGCGGGTGGTGTGGCCTGGGCTGAGATTGGGCCAGATAAGTGAGGTGGCCCAGGGTGGCTAGAGGGGCTGGGAAAGCCTTGTAGAAATAAGATGGTCATGGGGCCTTCTGTGTGTCTGCATCTCCAGGCAGGCACAGCTCTGGATGCAGAGGGGTGAAGGTGGTGGGGCCCAGGCTGAGGGGGGAAGGTGGCTGTGGGAGGAGGTAGCTGGGAGACTGAGGCTCCAGGTGTTAGGGGAATGAAGGCATGGGCAGGCAGAACCTTCAGTGACCACAGTCCTACGTGGACTTCTCCAGTAACAGAAGACCAACCAGCGTTCCTATCGAAGCGTCTCATGGTAATGCTGGTGGAGTCAGACAGTGCCTGTGGCGCTTCCTCCTGGTACTTGTTGGGGTCCCTGCAGTGCCCCCTAACCTCATCCCACTGCCCTCCCTAAGCTCTCTCAGGATCCCCTAAATAGTGGGATCCCCAGTTGTGGGCTGGCCCTTCTCTGAGGCCTCCAGGGGAGGAAGTGAGGTCAGGAGGGACCCTGGACCTCTGTGGAGGGCTGGGGGCTGGGCTGCCGCAGGTAGCTCTGGGGGTTTAACCTGTGATTCCTGCCTGTGTTGTATCCTCACGCTGACAGGGCTGCTCAGCAGCAGGCGGGACGGGTAGGTGTGTGCGTACCTGGGTGCGCAGCCCATCGCGCCGACCTCTCCTGTGGGGGGCCATGTCCGAGCATGCTCTGTGGAGTTGATGCGTGGCCTGGTGTGTTCGGTGCTTCAGTGACCTGAGCTGCTGTGTGCGTGGCCTTCGTCCGCTCAGTCATTCTGGCCTGTCTGTGGCTGCCCAGGGGTGTTTGGGCAAAGGGGGTGGAAGGTCATTCCCTCCCCCTTATTCGAGTGGTGCTGGGGTCTGGGAGGGGTCGTGAGGAGCTTTCAGGGTCAAATCTGAGCATCTGGGAAATGGGAGGGGAGTTAGTTCTTCCTGGAAGAAAGTGGGTAAGCTGGTTGGGGAATGTTCTTGGAGGGGGTGACCCTTTAGAGGGTTTAAAGAGAGTGTTGGGGTTTCAGGTGCGCTCCCCTGGGGCCCCAGGACCTCTTACTCTGAAGGAGGTGGAGGAGCTGGAGCAGCTGACCCAGCAGCTCATGCAAGACATGGAGCATCCTCAGAGGCAGAACGTGGCCGTCAGTGGTGAGCCCACCGCCCCCTTGCTGGGATGTCTGTCCCCCCCTTCATTACTGTGCTGGCCACTCCTGTGGCTCCACTCCCTCTTCGAGGGATCAGCTGACTCCTATTTATCTATCTTCTTTGGCCTACCCAGAATCCTGTGGCCGGTGTCACCAGCCCCTGGCACGTGCACAGCCCGCAGTTCGAGCTCTGGGACAGCTGTTCCACATCACCTGCTTTACCTGTCACCAGTGTGAGCAGCAGCTGCAAGGACAGCAGTTCTACAGCGTGGAGGGGGCGCCATATTGTGAGGGCTGCTACACTGTGAGTCAGGTTTGAGGCTGAGGGCCACTCTGGGGCTCAGCGAGGGGTTGGGGTGTGGACATGTGGAGACCTGCCTTGGCAGCTGGCTGTTGGGTACAGTTCCCTGCCAATCTCCTGCTGCTCCCTCCTCAGGACACCCTGGAGAAGTGCAACACCTGTGGGCAGCCCATCACTGACCGCATGCTGAGGGCCACGGGCAAAGCCTACCACCCTCAGTGCTTCACCTGTGTGGTCTGCGCCTGCCCCCTGGAGGGCACCTCCTTCATTGTGGACCAGGCCAACCGGCCCCACTGCGTCCCTGACTACCACAAGTGAGGACCCACCACTACCTCTGGGCGCTTCTCTGGGGCCAACCATGGTTTGTCTGGGAGCCAGGCTGCCCCTCTGATCCCAAGACAGCTCCAAACCCCTGGTCTGGCTTTCTGGCAACCATGTTTTATCTGTAGATGGCAGGGACGAATTTATGTGGACTAAGCCAGCGGTTCTCAACCTGTGGGTTGTGACCCCTTTGGCGGTCGAACGACCCTTTCACAGGGGTCGCCTAAGACCATCCTGCATATCAGATATTTACATTATGATTCATAACAGTAGCAACATTACAGTTAATAAGTAGCAACGAAAATAATTTTATGGTTGGGTCACAACGTGAGGAACTGTATTTAAAGGGCCAGAAGGTTGAGAACCACTGGAGTCACTAAGCTATCCAGGAGCCTTAGACCTAGGTAGCAAGTCTTGCTCCTGGCCAGTCCCCTGGCCCTTGGCTCACTGAAGCTTCTTCTGGGTTCGGCGACATTTGCTGGAGTGACTTCATTTCACACAGGCCAGGTTGTAGATGTTCCTTTGGAGGTCAGTTGTTAGGAACTCTGGTTCCCTAGAGAGTATTTACAAGGTGGCTACTTTCTCAGGCCAGCAGCAAAATCCTGTAAGGTAGCTAGAGGGCGGTACAGGGACCCCACAGAATCTGGCTCCCACCTCTGTTTGAGGTGTGCGTTTTTTAGGATTGCACCTTGGGTGGCCAGGGCTTCATGTCCCTCTGTACCTCCCAGCAGTCGGGCAGAGACACCTGCGTGGTGAGGGGTGGACTAGGGTCAGGGGTCCAGGGATGGGACCAGCAGGGCTCCGCTGGGTGTGCTTTCTGCAGGATGAATGTGAGGGGGTGAGGACCTGGTGGCAGTGGGTTTGGGGCGGGTGGGGTTTTGGGAGATGCGGGTGGCTGGTCTTAGGCCTTTCTGTTGGGCTTCCTCTACCTTGAGATGTGGGAAAGATGGGCAGAGAAGTCTGCCTGTTGCCATGCCACCGCCGTCTGCTCTCCCTGTGCTCTGGTGAGAGCGCGGGTGCCTCTTCCCACATCCTGACTTGTACCGCCTTGCTGCCCTCCAGGCAGTTCGCGCCCAGGTGCTCTGTCTGTGCAGAGCCCATCATGCCTGAGCCTGGCCGGGAGGAGACTGTGCGAGTGGTCGCTCTGGACAAGAACTTCCACATGAAGTGCTACAAGTGTGAGGTCAGTGTCCCTGGGGCCTGAGGGCTGGGAGGTGTGGGGACATTATTCACTGGCCAGGTGGTGAGCAGTGCCAGCCTGCAGTTTTGAGGGTGGTCAGTGGCAGTGCCCAGGCCCACCCAGCCCAGATGCTTTGGTCACTGCAGGAAGGGGGTTGTGGGGTTTCTGTGGGGTCACTTAGTTGCAGATAAACCAAGATAGGAGACTGCACAGTGGTAGGGAAGGGTGCTATGCTTTGTGGTGACCAGGCTGGGGTCTCACCGAGACTCAGAAGAAAGGAGAGTCAGAATGGAATTGAGACATGTGGGAATGGCCCCATATCCTTTATTGGGATGGGTGCAGCTCTATCCACTGCCCATCCTTGTACTGGATGCCTAGGGGACAAAAGTGAAAGTGGGGGATGAATGGGGGTGGGGAGGCACAATGAGGATATCAGCTCAGAGCTATGAAGCACTTGGCCTTGCTAATGCAAAAGTGGGGGTGTGTGGGGTGCACAGGGGCCCTTCCCATCAGGGAGTTCTTCCACTTTCTCCTAGGACTGTGGGAAGGCTCTATCCATTGAGGCGGACGACAATGGCTGCTTCCCCCTGGATGGCCATGTGCTCTGCCGGAAGTGCCACACTGCCAGAACCCAGACCTGAGTGAGGACTGGCCCCTTCTTCACTGGGAGTTAATTCCCCATCAGCGGACCACCCACACTGAGACCACCCTGCTCCTCCACTGGCCCCGCCCCTGGGTTATTTTTTGTCTAGCCTCTCCCTCCATTCCAAACCCCACCCAGTATCCCAAGGTCCCTGACCCAGGGCCCCAACAGAACCCAGGATGCAGAGTCCTGGTTCTGGGTTTCTAGTCCCCTCTCCCATCCTGCAGGGACCTCCCACCACCCTTCAGATACCCCATCTGAGGGTCGCCAGGTTGAGCGCTGCTGCTTTCACTGCTGCACACATGCCTCAGCTGCC